CTTTCCAGTAGTTGTGGGAAGAATTGCAGGAGGTATATTTTCCTCTTCTTCTGTAGAGGACAGGTAAGCAACCTGCAACCCTGAACTCAATGCAAACTCACCCTTCCATAAAGAGGTAGGTTTTGGGTAGAAGAACTATGAAGAAAAGGGGTATCATTGATGGCTATGAGAGACGTTGTGTGCCTCTCCTTCAATGAACCAGATGGAAGGTATGGAAACTATAGATCCTATGAAACCCAGGGGGGAGAGCCATAGCCCAGTGCTTCGCATGCAGAAGGTTCTAGGTTTGATCCCTAGCATCTCTAGGTAGACCTGAAAAAGAGGTGGTCTAAAATTCTGGCTGTCAATATAGACAATAATGAGCTAGATCAATCCATAGTCTGACTAAATATAAGGCAGCTTCCCATGTTCCTATTTAAACAGTTGGAACCTTGGGGACTCGAATCTTGAATTACCTTTAAGGAAACAGACCACAGCTCTGTAGTAGAACATCTGCTTGGCATGCAGAAGGTCTTGGGTTTAATCCCTGACACCTCCAGATAGCATCAGATGAGCGTCTGAAAACCTGGAAGGCTGCTGCCAATCAGTGCAGGCAAGGCCAAGCTAGATGGAGCAACAGTCTGACTCTGTATAAGGCAGCTTTCTAGGTTCTTTTGTAATGGAGCGGAGTGGACAGAATTCTGAGCAGGCATGCTCTGCATTGCAGTTTCCACTTGAGTATTTGGGTTACTAATTGATTGTATTATTTGTAAGAAGGCTTAGACATTGATGAGTGCAATGGTGGGATGAAACAGTTTAAAATAAATGAAACAAGTAAATCCGAAAACACACACACAGCCTTCTATCAGCCTGCTCTCTCCTTGATTTTCCCAGTGGCGAGGCAAGACCTCATTGGGATGTATGGCACTCGCCTATGATTGACAAAAGGCATCACAATCTTCTCCATCTCCCTGTCACCATGACCGCCTCCCAGGCCCCTGAGACTGGCCACTTCTGGGGTCTTGGGGCTGATTCTCATTCATGTCAGTCCACCTGGTGGTCAGAATGTGCTGGCCTAGCTTCCGTGGTAGTGAGTGGTGGCACTGATGTGTGTTCACGTTGTACAAAGTCAAGCAGAGTCTGGCTCAAAGCGACATGGACTTGGTTCAAAATGGCCCAGCGGCCCAGCATGGGCGGCCGAGATTCCTTTGTCCCACGGTTCTTCGTCTCAGACCCTAGAAGGCAGCTGGGATGAAGCCGTCTCGCAACAGACAAGGCTGAAGATGTAAGGAGAGGCATGAAATTAGCAATGACAGTTGTAACCGCCACCGCGTCAGGCATTAAATGGAACATGGGCCACACAGCGTGGGTCCTTTCTCGCCATCAGCTACACTGCGCCCAGTGCTGCAAAGCCTGTCATGTGAAGATAAAGGAACAAGTACAATGAGATGAGGAGAAAAGAGAGGATTGGCTCAGCCACTAGGCCACTGACGGCAGTTGCTCCAGAAAGACACCTTTTTTCCTCTCCTCAAAATATGAAGTTTGCTAAAGACAAGCTAACCATTCTAATGCCTAGCCTTAGCAAGGTCTGGGCAAGGGATGCCTTTTGTATGGGGACTGGAAGGAAAAAAGAAGCCACTTCCAGGTTGTGCTTGAGCAAATTTGTAAGTGAACAAATCACAAGATTCAAGTTCACCCCATTTGAATATAATGTTCATTTCATTATTTTCATTTTTACACATTTCAATAATTTTACAATCATTTAAACATTTCAAAACTCGACTTTCTTCCCCCTCTTTCTGTGGTTCCTTAAATTTATTTTTTATATTTCCTGCATATTCCAAATTAACTTAATTTACTCACTTATTGATCTACTTTAAAAATATACTCTTATAAAACTGCGGTTTATTACAATAATCCTGCCAGTGTTCTCTGTTTACAGTTTATTTGTAAATATTCAATAAACCATTTCAATTTTTTTATAAAAAGTTTGTTATCTTGATTTCTTATTTTTCCGGTAAGTTTCACCGTTTGTGCGTATTCCATAAGTTTTTGTATCCATTCTTCTTTCGCTGGGACTTTTTCTTCTTCTTTCCATTTTTGGGCAAGTAACATTCTTGTCACTGTAGTCACATACATGAATAAATTTGGGTAGTTCTGTCCCTATAATTCCCAAAATTATAATTCTGTCCCTATAATTCCCAAAATTATAGGAAATTATAGGAACTGAGGGGATTTCCTTTTCGAATATAATGTTCTTAGCTTCCCACTGGCACCCATTCCACTCTCCCTGTATGCAGTTCAGCCCAAAGGCACCAGGTTGGCCCCAAGATCATGGGGGCCCAGCACATGACATGAGCATGATGTGTATCACAGTGTGTGACGTCACTTGTGACATGCTTTGTGTGTGTGTGTGTGACATCACTGTATTGTGTGTTGCATGCATGCACACAATGCACATGCAATGGAGAAGGTCGAGCACTCTGGAGAAGCCAGCCACTGGACCTGCAATGTGCAATGTGCATCGTGCATATGACATCCCATGTACAACACACACAGTGCCTTAAGATTCTCATCAGTAGGCAGGCGCTGAGGTTTCTTTGTTTGCACTCCTGCCAATTAGCCCACCGCTGGGCTCTGCTACTCCAGACAAACCTCCTTTTTCTCTGTTTCCTCTCTCTTTGGTAACACTTGCCATTCACTTTTACTCGGCTGCAATTTCTCTTCTCTTAGTTCACCGCAGATGATGCTCTTTACCCTTATTCCTGCGATAGTCGATGTCTTACGTTGTGTCACTCATTACATTTCCTGCTTTTCTGCCTGTCCTCTGCCTGCCTCTCCACTTGTTCTTTCACACTCATGCACCCTCCATTCCAATCTTCCCTCCCTCCCATCACATCTCCTGTCCTACATGTTTTCTTTCACTCCCTTTCCCTCTCACAGGCTCCCATTCATCCCCACTCTCTCTGCTGCGGCCCGTTTCACCCCCGCTTTCTTTCCCATATGCCAGCTTGTTTGCTCCTATTTCCCCTTCTGTTTCTCTGTTCCTGGGACCTACACCTCACATTTATCCTCTGCTGGGCTATACAGTGCTATGTTCTCTGCATGCTCTCCCTGTAACCTCCCAAAGAGAGGCTGAGAGTCAGTCAGAGGGAGATCTGACTTGTTAAACTAGGCCTGTATGGCAGGGGATGGCAAACCTTTTTTTTTCCATTTTGGGCAGTCTCCCAGAGGCTACATACCAGTGGTGGGCACAGCTAGAAGCAAATGTTACCTTTGCCCGGCAGTGGCATATCGTGGGTTGCCAGTCCCTGGGACCGTGCAGAGCAGGGGATGGGAGGGAAATGAACGGAGTATGCATGCACATTCAACTGCCTAACAGCATCCGTGTCACCCAGGATATTGCAGCCACAGAGACAAGAAAAGAAGAGTTATTCTGTTGTGTGTAGAGGTCGCTTCCTGCTTTGCATGATGAAGCTGTTTTCAACAGAGCCCAGTCATGGAAGCACACAGCTGTATTCAAGCAGTACCAGGTGTTGAAATTTTGCACTCCTAACAATTTCGCACCTTGGCTGACTGCTCCCACGCCATGCCACTGTTGCCCAGTAAGTCAGCTTCTACACACACATGCACACAGCCCTCTCTATTCTTCATCCAGACAAGCAAGAGGTATTATCAGGACACATTTTAGGACACATTTCAGCCCCTTAGCATAACTTGAGGAGGGTGCAAGCAGATCTGCAGTGGGGGTGTGGCCTGCGTAGAGGGATGTGTGTCCTGGGAAGAGTCTTGAGGTCTAGACAGAGAGCCTTGAAGGCCAATTTTGGCCCAGGGACTCAAGATTCCTTATCCCTGATTTAAAATATAGAATATGGCAGTGATAACATGTGGTTGGGAATGTTGCCATTTATATCTTTATTTATTTGCAGTTCTGATATTTCACAAATATTGTATCTTCAAAAAAGATATCTATGATGACCTTTACCGATATAGCAGTTCCTTTTCCTAACACATCCAATCCCCCTCTCTCCCTGCTTGTTGTTGTACTGTCACCACCCCCTCTTACAGATTTCCCTTCCCTTCCTTTCTCTCCCCCCCCCCACGTCCCGCCGTAACAAATCAGTAACACACAGCAAGAGGAAGCAGTTCCACTGACAGATAGAACTGGTGCTATCATCCCTCTTGAATGTCACCAGGAAAATTGCATGGCACACTCTGAAATTCAAATTAGAGCTTGCTTGAAACTGCTAAAACTCATCAAATGCTTGCTTTGAAGTCCACTGGGAGGTTGGTCATTTCTTTTAAATTAGTCCCTGTTGAAAATGAAAATGCAGGGAGCTGATGCATTAGCATACCGGAGTGTCAGAGACGGTGAAATGTTCCCCTTTTTTAAAAAAAGAGAGAGAGAGTACCTGTACTTTCACTTCCACACAAAGCCACACTCTCAAACGGAACTCTTAGCACATTAGCGTACATGAAGGAATCATGTCAAGCTCCCAGTTTGACAACGAAGTGATTTCCTTGTAGGAACGAGGTGAGACAGCTCCCGTCTCGTGCAGAGAATCCCTATTGCACCAGCTGGAGCCCTCACAAGCCATTTGGTTTTCCCCAATGGCCCAGCCCCTTTGCTAAGTGGAGGGGTTCCGATTCTGACATCATGAAAGTGACCCTGAGGAAGGGACATTTGAGCACGTTGCTCTGTTTCATGTGCGGCCTCTTGCCGTATGTTGCATGATGAGTTAACTCCCTTAGGCTCAGAGTTGATTAGCTCGGCTTAAGCAGAGCTCTTTCGCCCCAAATTGGAAAATAACGTGGCTTAATTGAGTCCATCCAAATCAATTCTGACCCTTGATTGGGTCCAGTTCCTTGAGAGCTTGAGGCTCGCAGGAGAAGCAGGCAGTGCCCACTCAAAGCAGAGAGCAGAATGGAACAGGACCTTGGACAGCTCCAAGAGGCTGCTGGATCAGCTGTTGCCTCTGCAGGGAGCTGTGGTAGGTGGAGGTGCATGTGCCGGCAGTGCTCGGAGATGCCAGGGATTGAATCTGGGACCTTCTGCATGCAAAGCAGATGCCCTTCCACCGAGCTACAGCCTTTCCACAATTCATCTTGCACCTGCTGAATCACTAGCACAGCAAATTTCATGCTGCTCATATTTAACGGCATTTAGAGTGGGGATGGGGAGTCTGAGGACACCCATCTTCTCTGACCATTGGCCATCCTGACTTCGGACCGATAGGAGTCTGGCAGAGAGCAAGACTGGGAATATGGTGATGGCAATAATGGGAATGAGATGTTTGGAGGCAGAGGGAGCTTGGCAGGTGCTGCTTTCTAGGGCCGTGTGCTGAATCTGACCAAAGGCTGGATCCTGAACCAAATTGGGCCAATTCAAGTGGATGTAGGCTTACCCATGTTCATGCTATAAGAGGAAACAGTCTATTTTGTTTCTTTATTTATCATATTTATATCCCACCATTCCTCCAAGGAGCTCAGGGTGACATACACAATTCTCTTCTGCCCATTTTGTCCTTACTACAACCTTCTAAGGTGGGATAGATGCTGACACTGAGTGAACTGGCCCTGAGGTCACACCCAGTTAGCTTCATGGCTGAGTGGGGATTTGAAACCTGGTCTCTCAGGTCTTAGTCCAACATTCTAACCACTACACCACACTGGCTCTTCAGCTGGTGTTACAGTGGTACCTCAGGTTACAGACGTTTCAGGTTACAGACTCTGCTAACCCAGAAATAGTACCTCAGGTTAAGAACTTTGCTTCAGGATGAGAACAGAAATCGGGCGGCACAGCGGCAGCAGGAGGCCTCATTAGCTAAAGTGGTGTCTCGGGTTAAGAACAGTTTCAGGTTAAGAACGGACCCCGGAACGAATTAAGTTCTTAACCCGAGGTATCACTGTATTCTGTTACTCAGAGTAGATCCTTTGAAGTGAATGAACATGCCTAACATAGGTCCATTACTTTCAACCAGCCTACTCTGAGTAGGACTTAGTTGGAGACAACCCTATGTTTTCTTCCTAATGTTTCATCTTGTTCGTTGAGCAATTAATCAAAAGCTTCCAAAGGTTATCGACTTTGAGAGGGAATTATTAAATAGTCCTGCAATACAGTCAGATGAAGACGGGACTATTAGACACTCTTTAAATTAATTATCTGGATTGGATGGTGCTAGGAGAATCTTACTAAAACTTTGCCTTTATTCTATCACCTATGTTTTTTTAATTAACATCTGGAAGGAATTAATAAGATTAAGCAGGATCCTATCATCTTGGGATGAGGCAAAATGGGTAGTAATCCATAAGTTAAGAAGAATCAAGACTCTTCAAAGCCTATTTCTCTTCTGAATATTGACTACACTGTTAGCTGTCCATTTATATGTGGATTTTCCAATCAATATACCAGTCCTGATCACACAGGGGTGCAAATTCTCTGATACTGTTTTTTTTGTGTGTGTTTTTTTTTTTAAAAAATGAGAAGTATAATAGCAAAATTAGAAAGTTTTTTTTTAAAAAAAGCTGTCCTGCTTTTCCAATTACTGGTGCGTACCTGAAAGGCTTTCAGTGCCCAAAAGAATGGAAATTTCTGAAAAGTCTCACTGGGGAATATGCCCTAGGAATGTATTTAAACAATGGCTAACACTGATATATAATATCCCTAAAGCATGGATGATTCTCATTAATGGGGGCTACTCTGTTTTTCACTTTTCAACGTAACACAGCTAGAATATGACCACGTCTAATGCTTGTTTAGTGTATGTAATACTTGGCAATTGTTATACAGGAGAATGAAATTGTCTAAGGGATTTAAAACTAGTTGAAAAGAAAATTGCCTTTATAAGAATAATATTATATACGAGTGACGTCAATGTTATTCTGCAATTCAGTATGGAACACCTCACTTTGAAACAATGTTGAACATGATTCCAGTGAAGATTATTAACATCACCCAAATCAGATGCAATTGTTTTGCAATGCTCCCCGAGAGAATCAAACAATGTCACATCTTTGTAACAAGAAGGAAATCCCAGCTATACATTAGGAATAGCTTTCTAATGGGAATAACTATTTGACAGTGGGACAGACTTCCTCAGAAAGTGGTGGACTCCCTTTCGTGGAGGTTTTTAAGCAGAGGTTGGGTGACCATCTGCCAAGGATTCTTTAGCTGTGATTTCTGCACTGTAGACAGTTGGATGAAATGACCCTTAACTCTCCAGGTCTATGGGTCTCTGATTCTCTACAGCTTTTGTTTATAATCAGTGCATATCCTGCAATTTCCAGCTGAAATCGTGGAACGTTTCCCCCCACTCTAATTTGTGTTTTTGTCCTGCTTTTGTTGTTCTATGGCACGAGAGAGCCCCATCATATTGCAACATTGTGCTGGCACCGCAGAAGCTTCGAAAGACAAGTAATAAAATGGAATAATGTGTGGATTTGTTAGGAGACCTCTGTTCCTCTCACAGACAGGGCCGGCCCACCCATGAGCCAAGGTGAGGTGACTGCCTTGGTCAGCAGGATCCACAGGGGCAATAGATTCATCCTCCAAGGAATATATTGCCCACTGGTGCTGCTGGAGCAATTGCAGAAATGGCTTTAGTACACTTTTTGGAGACTAAATCTGCCTTCTCCTCAGCAGCCCACCCCATGTCACCTCTACAGTGGCTCGTTGGCAAACAGGAGGTGCTGCTGGTCTCCCATCCTTGTCCCCAATGTATATCTTCATTCCTCTCTTGTTTCTGATGTACATCTTCACTCACCCCTTCTTCCCTGACAGTTGAGGGGAGCCATTTTGTGGTTCGCCTCAGGTGGCAAAATGTCTCGGGCTGGCCCTGCACAGAGGGCTACAATCCTCAGAGTCATACCCTCCAACATTTCTGTGATGAAAATAGGGGTTCCTTTTCTAGTAGTAGTAGTAGTAGTAGTAGTATTCCCCACCCATCTGAGTGGGATGCCTCAGCCACTCTGAGCGGCTTCCAACATGTATGAACACATAATAAAACATTTAAAAAGCTTCCCTATACAGGGCTGCCTTCAGACGTATTCTAACAGTTACTTATTGCCTTGGCTCAGGGATAGCCTAACTCCAACATTTCTCCAATGAAAATAGGAATGCCCTAAGGGAAAGTGGGGCATTCCGGGATCAAATCAGAGACCAGGACAGCTTCTGTAAATCCAGGACTGCCCCTGGAAAATAGGAACACTTGGGGGGGGGTCTACAGAGTTCCCAAAAGAGGAATTCACTGTTAAACCTGGGAACTGCCATTCTAGGGTGGGATAGGCATCTTCTAACAACTCTGAGTGCTCTTAACAAGCTACACTTTCCAGAATTCTCTGGGTGAACCCATGACTGTTTGAAGTGGTATCATAGCACTTTAAATGTGTGGTTTAAATGTGGCCCTTGTGGGATACAACCTGTAGTGGATAGGCGGCTGGACAGCTGAACAGAGGCAGCATGCACCAATCCTTTCCCTGCTCTTGGAGAGGTGGTAGCCCTTCCCTTTCTGCCATTTCCATTCCTCTCCCCCTCCATCCCAGCCCCTAACCTGCCACGAATCTCTGAGCAGGGGCCTCATTTTGTATCTGAAATCTTGAGGTGTCAGCTGTCTGCAGATTGATTCGTCCCTTTCATGACTGCACTGATGGGATGGCATGGAGTGCTGAGCGATGCTAGTCACACACCAGCCAGTATCAGCTCGCAGGCTCCAACCCTAGAATTTTGCTCTCCCGGTTGCAGATTTCCACCATTCCGAGCGCGGAGGGGGTTCAGCAGACGTCAGAGGTCAGAGAACGGCCGATTCTCTTGCGATCGGTCAGAAGCACAAAAGTGAGGTTTTTCTGCCACAGTGTGTAACCTGTGACATTTCACTGGGCTAATGTGGGTTGTGCTGATGCAGACAGCAATGCGAGCTGCCGGCATCACACAGATAAAGCTGTCAAGGATGGGATTTGTAGCCGGAATATTAATTTGGAAGAAGCAGGGACAATTCGTTTGGGGGTCAGCTGCAAAGTGGGTAGGCCCAGAACCGAGAAATTTCAGCTTTTGGTACGGGGTGGAATGGCAAACTTACAGGGCAAATACTATAATGCAGGGGTTGGGAACTGCAGGCCCAGGAACTGAATGCGCCCCTCCCGACCTCTCTATCTGGCCCACATGACTCTCTCAGGCCACACACCCTTTCTCTAGGCCACACCTCTCACTGACCTTGCTTCACATCCTCTTTGAATGCTGTTTCCTAGCAAAACTATGTCCTTGACCTTCCTCTTGCTTGCCTGGATGCAGGCCCTTCAAGTGTTCCTATTCTCCAGGGACAGTCCCGGATTTACAGAAGCCATCCTGGTTTCTGATTTGATCCCAGAATGTCCCACTTTTCCTTAAAGGTAAAGGTAAAGGGACCCCTGACCATTAGGTCCAGTCGTGACCGACTCTGGGGTTGCAGCACTCATCTCGCTTTATTGGCCGAGGGAGCCAGCGTACAGCTTCCGGGTCATGTTGCCAGCATGACTAAGCCACTTCTGGCGAACCAGAGCAGCGCACGGAAACGCCGTTTACCTTCCTGCTAGAGCGGTACCTATTTATCTACTTGCACTTTGATGTGCTTTCGAACTGCTAGGTTGGCAGGAGCAGGGACCAAGCAATGGGAGCTCACCCTGTCGCAGGGATTCGAACCGCCGACCTTCTGATCGGCAAGCCCTAGGCTCTGTGGTTTAACCCACAGCGCCACCTGCGTCCCCACTTTTCCTTAGGACGTCCCTACTTTCATTGGGGAAATGTTGGAGGTATGCATGTCCCCTGAGTCATCTGAAGGCAGCTCTGCATAGGGAAGATTTTTTACATGTTTTATGTTTTTATCTATGTTGGAAGTGGCTGAGGCAACCAGTCAGATGGGCAGGGTATAAACAATAAAATACCTATCATCATCACCACCACCATTATTAATATTGAATAGGATATCCCTATTTTCATCTGAGAAATGTTGAAGATACAAATTTCTGTGGGTAGATACCAGCCTCTATGCAAGGGCAAAATGTTCCTCAAGTGTTGCAGAAATAGGAACCAAGAGTGACTCTTCTTCTTCACTTGTAT